GTACATGTTCTAGACAGGTACATGGATTTTGGCACATTCTTTACCAATTTATTATGCATGAGAGACACTTTCACAAAATCTCTCTGTGCCAGTTTGTTTGAATACCAGGGTGTATGTTTAGTATCACTTTAAGGAAAGATATGAAAGAGATTGAGACCTAGCCTGATGTTTGAGAACCAGTGTAATCCTGATTCACACTGCATTCTCTTTCTCATATTATCCTGCGTAAACAATCATTTTCTCTTTGAAATTCCACTAAAATGACTGGTGCTCATTACTTTTATGATAATATTATTATACAGGATTTCTATAGCGCCAACAGTTTGCTCAGCGCTTTACAATATAACGGGAGACAATACAGCAACAATACAGTTCAATATAAGAGGGAAAGGAGGGCCCTGCTCCTTGGAGCTTGCAATCTAGGAGGGAGGGGCTAGTGGTACAAAAGGTAGTAACTGTGGGGGATGGACTGGTTGGAAGAGTAGAAGATTCCATTATTAGCTGAGGGCAGGATAGGCTTCCCTGAAGAGATAGGTTTTCAGAGATTGCCTAAAAGTGTGCAGAGTAGGCAATAGTCTGATAAATTGGGGTAGAGCGTTTCCAGAGAATGGGGGAAGCTCTGGAGACGAGCATGGGAGGAGGAGACAAGGGAGCTAGAGAGCAGGAGGTCTTGCGAGGAGCAGAGAGCACAGTTTGGGTGATATTTAGAGACAAGATCATTGATGTAATTTTGGGGCAGAGTTATAAACGGCTTTATAGGTGATTGTTAATGTTTTGAATTTTATCCATTGGGCAATGGGAAGCCAGTGGAGGGATTGGCAGAGAGGGGTGGCAGATACAGAACGGTTAGTAAGGTGGATAAGTCTGGCAGCAGCATTCATGATAGACTGAAGGCCAATGAGGAGGGAGTTGCAATAGTCAAGGCGAGATATAACAAGGGAGTGAATAAGTTGCTTAGTGGTTTCCGAGGTTAGGAACGGGCGTATTACTTCTAAACATCCAGAGAAAAGAAGCACTTCTGGGATTCATGTTTTTTGGGACTTTATTGCATATAAATTAACTAGTAACTTTTTGTATATAGCTGTTGGTAAGCTGGATATCAGCAGCACAATGGCTAAGTGGTTAGCATTTCCACCTAGCAGCGCTAGACTCATTGGTTTTAATCTCAACCATGGCACTACCTGCCTGGAGTTTGCATGTTCTCCCTGTGCCGGCATAGGTTTCCTCTCACACTCCAAAGACATGCTGTTAGGTTAACTAGCTCCTGTCTAAATTGGCCCTAGTATGTGTATGAATATGAGTTAGGGACCTTAGACTTTAAGCTCCTTGAGGGTTAGGGACTGATGTGAATATACAATATATATGTACATTGATGGTCCTATGTAAGCACCTGTAAGAAATAAACTTCCTTTCAAAATCATGATGGTCTAATTATTGATAGCAATACTGTTGAAAGCTCAAATAATTCAAAGTATAATGATCATAGTCACCCACCAAAGCAAGAGACACCTGTGTAACAATGAAGATAATATTTCCAGATCCTTTGCATCAATTGCGATCCATGTGAAAAGGAGAGCCTGAAAACTTTTGCAAGCCTTCAAGCAGTAGGACAGCTGCTTAGAACAATTCTGGCCCCACCAGGATTGACACATCCAGATCGGTTTCACCTCTAAATGTAAAAGCTGAGACATGACTCTCTTTATGAAAACCTCATCCTGAGTCTCATATAGACAGAAAATGGCATAAGTGGAGTCAATTGATGGTTTATGTATCGGATTCATAAGCCATTCTTCCATTGCAGTCCTGGCTGGGATTGAAATATTGATACCTGTGCTCTTTGAGAATGTTTTTATCTCCTTTTCATTAAAGAGGCCAAACAGAAATTGCACAACTAATGTTAAATGTGGGTGTTGTGCACACAATGTTGAAAGTGTGTCACCTTTACAGATCTCTGGCAGGGAAATGTCATCTCTTACTCCAGAGATGCCTTCCTCATTTCTGGAACCATCATCAAGTGCATAAAACAGAGCAGCAAAGAACTCCTGTACACTTAGGTGGATGAAACTGTAGTAAGTCTGAGTGTCAGTGTCCAAGTGAAAAACATTCTCATTCAGAAATACAGACTCAATCTCAGACAGAGAAAGTTCATGTCTTTCCAGGTCCTCTTCCTCAAACAAGATTTGTTGCTTCAGAACTCCCTCATTGGCCAAGGCACACAGTTTCTTCAGGCAGGTGTGTACTGGCTGGTTCCTACCATGGTATTTTATTAAACCCTTCAGGTAGAGGAGATAAACAGAGGTTACTGTTTTATACTGAATTAAGTCAAATTTTTTTTTAATTTGTGGTTTCATTACAGTACACATAATCCAGCATGCAATAGGAATAGAACACATGGTATACAGAATTTAGTTGTCTTTTATTAGACTGAGGGCTTTTTCTGCCTGCATCATTTTTGTTTTTAAAGAAATTGTACAAATATTCCTCACAGTCTTTCCCTGTAAATCCCAACACTTCTACATAGCGAGAATCCTCAATGAATGTATTTAGTTTGGCCAAGGCCAGTGACCTTGTGGTGATAATAAAAGAAGATTGTTTGAGAAACTGTTTCCTGAGCAATTTTTGTAGAAGTATCTCTTTGTGAAGTTCCTCAAAAACGTCATGACAAGCCTCTGATTCCTCCTCCAGAGTCCATCTTAATTCATCAAAGCCATCAATTATAAAGAGAAGCTTTCTGTGACTTCCAGGATCTTTCAGAAGAGACACCAGATAATCTGAACACTGCAGTTTGCAGGTTCTAGACAAGAGTCCCACAAGAGTTATCTTTCCAGTGATTTTGCTGATTTCTCTGCAGCTGAGATAAAACACAAACTCAAACTTGTCTGGGTAGAGATTCCCAGAGGCCCAGTCCAGCATTATCATTTTGGAGGTCATTGTTTTTCCAATTCCAGCTGGCCCCTGTAACACCACAATCTTTGGGATGAAATTCTCCTCATCTGGTTCAAACAGATCCTGGATTGTGGTTGGGAAATATTCAGCCGAAGATCTTTTCTCCATAATCTGTAAATGTCTTCTGCCTGAATGTAACATTTCATGCATCTTTTCTTCCAGATCTGGGTTTTTTTTTTACTAGTAGTAATTTGGTGTATACTTTTTGTAGATGAACAGCCTCCCCTATACGAGAATTATATTCTTTAACCCGCTGAAAATCCTCCTTCATTGACATCATGTATTCTTTCCTCCATTCTGCATTAGAATAAGAAAAGTCTTTTATTATTTAGATGGAACATGAAATCACATTTGAAAGGCTGTGTTGGGTGTTTGAACCTTTCTATGTATGTGCCATACTGTTTTTCTTCAATGAAGTCTTTGGTAAAAGAAAAACTGTGTTGCAATATTACATTTATAAACCTAGGCATATGGGTTATAAACGCAGATTATCCAGATAGATGCTTAGTACAGGAAAATTCTATTTACTTCTAGAATAGAAGATCTACTAACCGAATAATTTGTTGTTGAGTACAGTCTTCTTGAGGTTCACTGAAAAAAACATTTTTATAATATAAGTGTGCAGTTTTTATAACATAACAGTTTTATAATATAACAGTTTTTATAATCTAAGTATCACATTTGATTGTGTATAAGAAAATAGCTTCCTGTTCAGATCAGATCTCATTCAACAATTAAGTTCTAGTGACATTTTAAAACGTGTAAACATATTCTTGAGAGATCTTTAAATAGTGGTTTAGGTATAGAGGCCATTTTATTACAATCTTTGACAAGATCTCTACGTCTTCCTTACTATGGTAATCAGCAAGCAGAAGAAGAAGAAGAAAACATCTGTATAGACAGTATCTTACCAAGTTTCGTCCTCCTTTCCTGAAGTTCATCTGCGGGTCCTAGTAGACCAACAAGTTGAAAGACTTTACACATAACATCAAGAGCTACCTCTTTTCCATATGTGTCTATCAGGAGGTCCTTTGTGGTGATACAGTCTAAATTTTCTAGACTTCCTCTGGGAATGGGTAGTTTATCTCTGTAGAATAACTCAGACAATTTCTTCTTAACTTTCTTGAAATCGTATCCCTTTAGATCCTCCAGAGAATATATGATAAGATCCCCGGGGGTTTGCAGATTTATCCATTCTGTCAAAAAGATACCCAACCACTGTCAGTCCAACATGGAATCCCAAAATTCACAAATACAGGTCTATACTGATAGTTAATACTTCAGCAAACAGCTGAAAGGGTGGCAGAGCTGTAGGTAAACATATCGAAATAAATACAAATATTGGCCTGTACCAAACCTCCTTCTTAGATAGATAAAGTTAGAAAGTAAGCATGGTACCATGATACCATATTATAATAGCATTTCTTTACTATTTTTACTTTACTATTGTTACTTTAACCCTGAATAATTACCGTTGGGTCCATAAATATTGGGATTTTGCTGAAATGTTATTCTAGCTTTTTTAACAAAAAATATTGTTGTTGAAGTGGTATAATGAATGTGAAATGAGTGCAGAGTGTCAGCTTGAGGGTATTTACATCCAAAATGGGTGAATGTTTTTTGAAATTACGTACATTTTTTTATATATATATAGTCCCTTCATCTACTTGGTCTGCAGTTGATAGTCCTTTATATATAGTCCCTTCATTCCCTTGGTCTGCAGCGTGGAATTTCAATCATTAGGTTAAAAAAAACAGACGTCACCAAGACAACAGTTTGGTACATTCTTTAAAAAAGGAAAGTACTAGTGGGCTCAGAAACACCAAAAGGCCCAGACAAACATGTAAAACTGTGTTGAACTACAACATAATGTTTTCCATGGTGAAGTAAAACCACTTAACAACATCTAGCCAAGTCAAGAACACTCTCCAACAAAGGTAACTGTATAATTGTCAAAGTCTACAATCAGGAGACTGTAGTATGGGCGTATATTCATTATTGATTTACACAGAACTTGGTATTAGTTGCTATATTATTAACTATGGTAGTTTAACCACTTCAAGTCCGGACACTTTTACCCCCTTCCTGCCCAGGCCAATTTTCAGCTTTCAGCGTTGTCACAATTTGAATGACAATTGCGTAGTCATGCAACACTGTACCCATATGAATTTTTTAGCATTTTTTTTGAGACAGATAAAACTTTATTTTGGTAGTATTTTTTCACCACTGGGATTTTTATTTTTTTGCTATATAGATGAATAAGTCCAATACTTTTGAAAAAATTTTTCTTATAAAATTTAGCAAATAAATAATCTTTTTTCATTAATCTTAGCCAAAATGTATTCAGCTATCTTTTTAGTAAAAAAAAAAAAACCCAGATTAGTTTATAACCAAAAATTATAATTTTTCTAATTTTTTTTTTTTTTTTTACATTTTTATTTTATTTTTGTATATTATTTATGGGTTTTTTTTGTTTTGTTTTTTTCAAACACACTGTCACCCTAGCAGTACAGCGTTACCATAGTGACACTGTACTACTTGTGGGGGGTGATGAAGGTTTTTTTTTTTTTACACTGATTTCTTTTACTTCTCTCTTGCTGATTGGTCACAGCTTGTCACATGGTACAAGGCTGTTGTGAATGTGATCTCTGTGATCATTCACAGATTTCACACGTAGTAAGAAATGATGTCAGAAGTGACATCTTCCTTACTACTATTCATGTGATCACTGATTGGCCAATCAGTGATTACATAATCGGGACCTCACACAGAGGTCTCATACAGCAATCGGTGTTCCCAGGGAGCGTGCACAGGCTGAAAATATGGGCACCGTTTATGTACGGCAACCCGCTCCTACACTGCTCCAGTCCAGCCGTTTATATACAGTGGGGCAAAAAAGTATTTAGTCAGCCACCAATTGTGCAAGTTCTCCCACTTAAAAAGATGAGAGAGGCCTGTAATTGGCATCATAGGTAGACCTCAACTATGAGAGACAAAATGAGAAAAAAAATCCAGACAATCACATTGGCTGATTTGGAAAGAATTTCTTTGCAAATTATGGTGGAAAATAAGTATTTGGTCAATATCAAAAGTTCATCTCAATACACAAGGTTGGCACACACTGTTGCTGGTATGTTGGCCCATTCCTCCATGCAGATCTCCTCTAGAGCAGTGATGTGTTGGGGCTGTCGCTGGGCAACACGGACTTTCAACTCCCTCCAAAGGTTTTCTATGGGGTTGAGATCTGGAGACTGGCTAGGCCACACCAGGACCTTGAAATGCTTCTTACAAAGCCACTCCTTCATTGCCTGGGCGGTATGTTTGGGATCATTGGGATCATTAAGGATAAGGTGAACTTATCCTTAAAAGGTAATAACTTCTGCATTATATAAATGTGCCTTGAAAAAGTATTCATACCCCTTGAAATTTTCCACATTATGTCATGTTACAAAAAAGTGATAAATGGTATTTAAATTTTTTTACAAATATCTGAAAAAAGTGTGGAGTGCATTTGTATTCAGCCCCCCTGAGTCAATACTTTGTAGAACCACCTTACGCTGCAATTACAGCTGCAAGTCTTCTGGGGATGTCGCTACCAGCTTTGCACATCTAGAGAGGGATATTTTTGCTCATTCTTCTTTGCAAAATAGCTCAAGCTCTGTCAGATTGGATGGAGAGCGTCTGTGAACAGCAATTGTCAAGTCTTGCCACAGATTCTCCATTGAATTTAGATCTGGACTTTGACTGGGCCATTCTAACACATGAATATGCTTTGATCTAAACCATTCTATTGTAGCTCTGGCTGTATGTTTAGGGTCATCCTGCAGGAAGGTGAACCTCTCCACCTCACTCTCAAGTCATTTGTAGACTAACAGGTTTTCTTCTAAGATTGCTCTGTATTTGGCTCCATCCATCTTCCCATCAACTCTGACCAGCTTCCCTGCCCCTGCTGAAAAAAGCATTCCTACAACATGATGCTGCCACCATGTTTCACAGTGGGGGTGGTGTGTTCAGGGTTATGTGCAGTGTTAAAGTTCAATTTTGGTCTCGTCTAAAAGAAGCACCTTCTTCCACATGTTTGCTGTATCCCCCACATGGCTTCTCGCAAACTGCAAACGGGGCTTCTTATGGCTTTCTTTGAACAATGGCTTTCTTCTTGCCACTCTTCCATAAAGGCTAGATTTGTGGAGTGCACAATTAATAGTTATCCTGTGGACAGATTTTCGCACCTGAGCTTTGGATCTCTGCAGCTCCTCCAGAGTTACCATGAGCCTCTTGGCTGCCTCTCTGATGAATGCTCTTTTGTTCGGCCTGTCAGTTTAGGTGGACGGCCGTGTCTTGGTAGGTTTGCAGTTGTGCCATACTCTGCAGAGGTTGAAGGAGTGGGGGGGGGTCAGCCTGTCAATGCTCAGACCAAACGCCACACACTGCATCAAATTGGTCTGCATTGCTGTTGTCCCAGAAGGAAGCCTCTTCTAAGGATGATGCACAAGAAAGCCTGCAAACAGTTTGCTGAAGACAAGCAGACTAAGGACATGGATTACTGGAACCATGTCCTGTAGTTTGATGAGACCAAGATAAACATATTTGGGTCAGATGGTGTCAAGCGTGTGTGGCGGTAACCATGTGAGGAGTACAAAGACTAGTGTGTCTTGCCTACAGTCAAGCATGGTGGTGGGCAGGGGCGGACTGACAACTCATGGGGCCCCCGGGCAATAGGGAATCATGGGGCCCCTGCGTCCTTGCCCAAACTCAAAAAAGCCTATGAAAAAGGTACCAGGGGCACCTCATGGGGCTCCCTACTGACCCCGGGCCTTGGGCAGTGCCTGAGTTTCCAAATGGTCAGTCCGCCCCTGGTGGTTGGGCTGTCATGGTCTGAGGCTGCATGAGTGCTGCCGGCATTGGGGAGCTACAGTTCATCGAGGGAACCATAAACCAACATGTACTGTGACATACTGAAACAGAGCATGATCCTCTCCTTTCAGAGACTGGGCCGCAGGGCAATATTCCAACATGATAACGACCCCAAACACACCTCCAAGACGACCACTGCCTTTCTGAAGAAGCTAAGGGTAAAGGTGATGGACTGGCCAAGCATGTCTGAGCATCTGTAGGGCATCCTCAAACACAAGGTAGAGGAGCATCATGGAGGAGTGGAAGAGATTCCAGTGGCAACCTGTGAAGCTCTGGTGAACTCCATGCCCAAGAGGGTCAATGCAATGCTGGAAAATAATGGTGGCTACACAAAATATTGACACTTTGGGCCCAATTTGGACATTTTTACTTAGGGGTGTACTCACTTTTGTTGCCAGCAGTTTAGACATTAATGGCTGTGTGTTGAGTTATTTTGAGGGGACAGCAAATTTACACTGTTATACAAGCTGCACACTCACTACTTTACATTGTAGCAAAGTGTAATTTCTTCAGTGTTGTCACATGAAAAGATATAATAAAATATTAATAAAGATGTGAGGGGTGTTCTCACTTCTGTGAGATACTGTGTCTGTATGTGTATATATTTATGCACCGTATATATATATATTATATATATATATATATATATATATATATATATATATATATATTACTGGTTATCACAAATGGAATTTTCACATTCATTACTTCTTTTTTTGCATACATTGCTCTTTCTGACATGACCATAGATGCACAGATGGTCACCTTCATTGTATCAAAACCGTTATGGACATTCATTTGTTAGAACTGGCTAAAACAAGTTTATTTGATCCCCCCATTCACATATGTATTTGGGATACAAAGGCATTCTTCAGAGCCTGTTCTAGGACAAAAACATAAATGTGCCTAGAAAAAGAAGAGATTGTCATCTCCAGGACTTTCTGATGTTTGCAGAGGTTGCGGGGCTCCCCTGGTTTGAGTCAAAGCTGAATTTATCTTTTATCATCTGTACTCCATCTTTAAACTAAGCAAAGTAAATTTCTTTTATTACTATACTACTTGTGTGTTTGTGTTAATCATTGTACTACATTCACAAAACTGAAAGATAAAAATTTTAATCTGTCAATAAATAAATAAATATAAAATTTAACTGAGTGAAAACCACTGGTAAGCCTCCAGAATAGGAAGGCCAGATTAGACTTTGCCAGAAAATATTTTAAAAAGGTGTGCCCAATTTTGACACAAAAGATCAAACTAAGATCAACATGTACCAGAATGACAAGACGAGAAGCGTATGGCAAGGGAACGCACAGCTTGTGACAGCAAATCACATCATCTGTGAAACACTGTGGGGGCAGTGTTTTGGCATGGGCATGTATTGATGCCGGTGGAACTGGATCAATAGTGTTTATTGATTATTTGATTGCTAGCAAAGCACCAGGATAATATACTGTAGATATGAACTCCTTTGTGGTTCACTCACTGTTGCATCTCTATTGTTAGGATCAATGTTTGCAAGACTGTTGGGGTACTAAGGTATTTTACTTTCTGTTCTATTTTATTGGTTTTACTCCACATGTTCTGCAGGTCTCCCCTTGGATTGCAGGGGTTTTTTGTTTTTTTTTTGTTGTTGTTTTTTTTCCTTTTCAGTAGCATTGTATCTTGTTCTCTTAAAAAAACTCCTAAATAAAGAAAAAAAAAGAAACAAAAAGCACCAGGATGTATATTAAAATGTATAGGAATTTACATCACTTTATAGATGGACATTGACCTAAAACATACAGTACTCAGAAAGCAATCAAAGAGCTTTTCAAGGCAAAGTGGAATATTCTTAAGTAGTTTTGCCTGTCAACTGACCTCAACCGAAATGAACATGTGTTTTACTAGCTGGAGATGAAAATTAAAGGCAGGCAGACCAACAAGCAGCAACTCAAGACAGTACAAAGCTGTTTGAATATTTAAGGATCTTACAGTATGTATATGATCAGATCTAGCAAACTCACAAGCCTTCATATGTCAATAAAATCCCACAATATTATTCAATTAATATACATTATTCTGCTTACAAAAATAAGCAAATAATTCCCTTAACAACCATTAGGTTACAAGGTGATAAATGACTTAATATTTAAAACCCAGGGGCATTTCAGATCATGTTTTTCATTACAAATTTATATGTAAAGGGAAAATGTCATGCTGAAATCTGTAGAAGATTATGTACCCTTGTAGCAATCAGATATTTACAGAAAATTACAAATGAAATACTGTATGTTAGTCATTTTATAATCACATTACTATGTTTGAAGATGATGGAGATTAACATTAGATAAGATTGTAGCTATTAACAGTCATACCATGTGAGGTGGAAGAGGCCGCCATGACACCATGCCAGAAGATGGTTGGAGTTTATATAAACTACAAGGAACACAAAAATCAAACAGGTTGGTAATAAAGACAATACAAATAGCTGCAATTCAGTTAATGGCATATGAGGAAATGTGTTATTTGCCCAAATTTCCTAATGTACAGTATAGCTGCCTCTTTAGGGGTTTGTGGTTTTACAGAACTGAGAAAGGCTGGATCTGAAGGAC